AACGGGCCAATGTGACCTCCAACAAGAAAGGATGGGCAGGTAGCATGCATTGGTGCGGGCAAAGGGGTCCCTGGCTCACAGGTCCACTCTCTGACCCGGCCTTCTTGGTCCCCTGCCCTGTGGGCCTGAGGCCCACTCGTCACCCTGCTTCATAGCACACTGCACCCATCCCAGCGTGGGGACTGTGAGGGTGTCCGCACTGGTACACAGCGGCCTCCCCCGCGAGCCGTCCAACTCCACAACCGGGGATTTCTCTGCTCTCTCTTCACTACCACGTGCGCAGTACACAGGCCCGCGGAGATTCTCCGGAGAGGACTCTGGATGAAGGGCCCAGGCAAGCGTGGGACAAACCAACTCGCCAGGCTAACTCGTGAGCCCTGAACAATGGGTTTCTGTTCTTCAGGTTTACCCGCTGGTCAGCAAGTGCCTCTCAGCAGTCCCCCCAGAACAGACGTTGTGCTGTTTGCGTCGAAGCTGAAGGGTAGAGTATCTGACTCATAGGTGGGTCCACCCTGGCCCCATCGGTGGCGGTTTTCAATCAGCTGACTCAGATGCTGGGCACCCAGCTTTCAGGAAATGCTGTTGACATAATTTTCTCATTTGTGTGAAGAGTTTGACTTCATAGAAAGTGTAGTTGTGCTCACTCTGCTAATATCAGGATGTGACAGGGCACACAGCGTATTTCAGACGGGTTATTTTTCTGGTCTGATCACGGTTGTGTACAGACTACATCATACCGCAGGCTTTATGACCTGCCGGTTCTCCAACTCGCCTAGCAGAGAAGGTGCTGCTTCCAGTAAGGAATGTCCTCTCCCGAGGACGCCCAGGACTAATTTTTCCACTGACCCAGATATTTTACACCCAGAAAAAGGGAACATTCACAGCTGCAGAACTGTGAGTACTTGCAGTTAAATAGAGGTAACACTCCCCAACTTTGGAGTGGTTTCCATTGTTTTCAGAATGTAATTTCTGGGGGGACCTTTTTTAATCCTGGCCACAGACTATTCCCCCAAACAACGAATGCTTTTACGAAGAGCAGTTTTAAAGAGCAGAGCTTGAGGTATTGCTCTTGTGACAGGAATTCATTCCTGCAGCACCAACAGTCATGGTGCCCTGCCTGCCGTTCACACTGACAAAATAGATGCTTAAAATATTCAAGCAAGAGAGCCAGGGCCAGTGACCAAATGAGCAAGAGTGAGTGACTGTGAAGCAAGCTTTAGCACGAGGAGAAAGGAAGCGACTTTGTGTCTGCTTTGTCTGATGATCCTCGAGGAAGGGACATGTGTGACAAGGGGGCCCATGGAAAAACCTAGACAGCCTGTTACTATTCCATCATCAGGGCAGTGAGGAGGGAAACAAGGTGCCACACTTCGGATCCAATGGCTTTATGGACTGAGGTGACACATTCTGTGGCACGTTCACCAGGAGCCAGACTTTCTCAGGATGCTCCTTTTCATCACAACTTGCCCAGCGACTGACTTAGGCAGAATAGCAGTGAGTTTCCCATCTTGAGAGTGGTTCTTTGTGTGAATTCCAGGCTCAGGGGAGAGTTGCCTGGTGGCTGGCCATAGCCGTGGGAGAGTAGAAGCTGCACCACCCAACAACCCATCCCCTTCCAGTCTGCACAGTGCACACCTGCTCTAAGTTGCTTTCCATCTAAATCTACTCTAAATCATTCATCTTCATTATAAGTTCCTACTGTGTCCGGGGTCTCTAAACCATGGTGGGAAGAGAGTTTATTCAAGGCGGATACTTTGATGATCAGCATCTATCCAGGTACAAACATAGTCTCAGGAGGCAAACAGAGTGTCTTATTTGGATTTATATAATTTACAGTAAAAAGGAATATAACATCTTTCTCCAATCAAGGTTTACTTGTTTAAGAAAACCTAAGAGCACACTGACTAGGAGATAAGCAGGTGATCTTTCAAGGGGGAATCAGAAAGAGATTGCTGGTTGCTTGGGGCCCATCTGAAGAAAGACACAAGAACTGAGTTGAGAAAGACAGTATTATCTTACACAACAGCTTTTTCTGCAGGATATTAAAGCACTTTATAAATATTAATTATCTCATCCATTCTTATCACATTGTATGAACCAAAGACATTATAGATGGCCGGTCGCCCAGCTCAATATGCTAAATATCTCAAGCTGTCTTTCACACAGACTGATTTTCAATTCAAAATACGCTCACCTCCCTGTTATTTGGAGATGTGATTGCACTTATGAAGGATCCAGTCCCCTTTGGTTCTTTCTCAATAACTTTGAATTGCTAAATATTTCTGCCTGTCCCCCACCTCTTCCCCTTTTATACATGTTAATTTAGCAAAATTAGAAAACGCAAATACATGAAAGTAAGGGTAAGCCACTCATAAGCTCATAATCATTAAAAATTACCATGGATATTTGGTGTATATTTATCCTGAAGATTTTCTAAATGCATGGGATCATGAGTTTTATTTCCTTTAATACTGTTTCATGTTCACTGATACCATTATTTTAGATATATTTTATATAATTGTTTTTGTATATTATATATCATAATTTTTAACAGCTGAGTGTTATTTCACTATATGGAAGCGCTATAATTAAATTAACTAAATCCTTCCACCTAAACACTGAGGCTGTTTCAACATTTTTGCTGTTATAAACTTCTGCCTCCAGCCCAGGCAATCAGCGTGTTCTGTATCCTTCTGAACTGTCTCAGTGGCCAGATAAGTATATGAAACCACATATAAGGGCTTGGCTTTGTTTACGGAAATGAAAATATATCCCACACTTCACTTCTTTCACATAAAAAAAAACAAGCCAACCTATATTATGAAAGTTCTTCCAGAGAGCTCTTTAAATAGTTGCATAGTAATTTATAGTGTGAATATACCACTATTTGCTCAGCCCTTTTCCTTGATAGCTATTCAGGCTATTTCTTGATGTTTGCCATACAAAGAATCCTGCACTAGACGTTCTTGAGCATACCGGCTAGTACGTTCAGTGTGTTCTTCCACAGCACAAGGACAAAGAAGTGGGACTGCTGAGTCAGATGACACATTTGTAATGTGATTAGATTTGTTATGCACACCTCTTAAAGGTATTTAGACCAGTGTGTAGAAAAATTCAAGCTGCTCTGTCAGTTTCCTTCACACAGATGCTCTAGCTAGAAATGTCTTGGGTGGAAATATGCAGACAGGAAGCTGATGCTCAGAAAGGTACAGGACATGTTCAAGGTCATACAGCTAAATATTTCAGAGTCAGGACTAGCACCTACTTCTCCTGATTCTCTGACAATGACTTTCTGCATAACAATAAGCCCTTATAGGGGTGGGAGGTGGTAAAAGGGAGAAAGAAAAGATGTATCCATCAGCTCTTGTTGTGTAACAAACTTCCCCAAAACCTAGTAGTTTAAAACAAGAACCATGTATTTAGTTAGGATTTTATGGGTCAGCAGTGTGGGCTGGGCTTTGCTGGAGGGGCTTCTGTCTGAGCTGGCCCCCTCCTGTCTATGTGGTCAGCCGTGGGTCAGTTGGGATGCCTCGTCTTCTCTGCTCCCTCATTCTGCAGTATGCTTCCCAGGCTTGTTCTTGAGGCCGTGACCAAAAAGAGTGTATGTGTGTGAGACCTCCTGAGGCTTAGGCTCAGAGTGAGCACATTCTCCCTTCTGCCACATTCAATGGTCAGAGAGCCACGGGGCCAGCCCAGATCTGAAGGGCGATGAGACAGACTCTGCCTCTGATGGGAGGACACTGCAAAGGGCATGGGAAGAAGGAAGATGTGGAGAATGGGAGCCACACTTGCAAGCAATCCACCAGGTTCTCAGGTTGATTTTTTCCCATTCTCCAAACAATTGCTTTGTTATCATCTTGACATGCCTGTTTGGAAAATCATGGCTTTCTAAGAGCAGAAATGTAGTAATACTTGTAGTGAAATCTCACAGTTCTCCCAAGATACCTGCGGCCCATTTGGGGCACTACTGTATTAGGTCAGATCTCTTTCCATTTTTAAAAATGGGTTTGCCAGATAAGAAAAATTAAGCACTTTGGCCATTTTACTCTGTTTCTGTAATATGTTATATAGAGCACTGCTGATGTATCTTCTCTTTAATCGTCAATTGGAGGACACTGCAGCTGTGTAGACTGTTTGGGGTTTATGTCTTTGTGTGTGTGTGTGTGAGTGAGAGACTTTAATCTCTCTGTAATTTTCCATCTCACACAGTAAACAAATGAAGAGGAGCACTTTACAGGTCATAAAAATAGGCAATAAATAAAGTCAAACACGGTATGCTTCCTTTTGATATTACAACAGGAGTGTGTCTGTGGAGATGAGGATTAGGCCAAGGGGCCACACTTGCTGGTTTAACGGGGCTCGGGCGCACACAGCCTGTGGATGCATGGAGAGCCCTGCAGGGTGACTCGTGAGTGCTGGGGAGGGAACCAGCTCTATATTTAGAACTTCTGGCTTCAGCCAGATAGAACATGGATTTAGGATGTGGGTTGAGGACAGGAAGGGAGCACAGGCATGCTAATATTTCGTTTGTTCTTTCTTAAATCAGCAGCTTAGCGTGGAAAGTTCTCTTCTGCGACATTTCTGTTTGTCTGTAATTACAGATTGGCATGGAACAGAAGGAAACTAAAGCAGAACTCTGCTGACTTTCTACACCGGGCAACTTGTGATGTGTCTGAGGGTCCACTGGCCCCATCTGCGTCCAGCAGGAACTGGATTCTCCAGTTCTAAGCAAAAGCGGGTGAGCGGCTGCCAAAAGCTCCCAGTTTTCTGAAGGATGGAGTTGAGCACTCCGTGTGCCTTTCACAGTAGAATTCCACAATGAGGCCGAGAGTGTTTAAAACAGCTAAAATACGCATGTAGGGAAGCACTGTAGGTTTCAATAAAAAGCGCTTTGGAGACCTTCTATACCAGAGATCAATATTCCAAGGGAAACAGGATACACAGAGAAGTGGAAACTTTATTGTTTACTTGGAGGTATGAAAAGAAATAGGTCAGTGATTCGTTTCCATAGTGACTATTATTGAAATAAGACAAACTGACACCAATACTGATTTATTCTCCTATTCAAGCCCTTTTCAAAGATTACTTTAATCTGAGTTGGTTCTTGAATATAAACAAGAAGCCCAAGTTATCGTTCACAATAATGATCTTTTGCTACTTGTGAATGAGACTTTAAAAAAATTAAATTAAAAAAACCTAAATTTGTGCCATATCAGTTTGTGGGTATAAATATAATGTGTTTTAAGTATAGGAGTTGTGTTCTGAGCATTTGCAATTTATCCCTCGTTCTTAATTACCTATTCTTGCTTTACTCCCAACTACAGGATATTTATTTGCTATTGGTGAGCTCTGCAGCCGTATGACAAGAGTTTAGGTAATAAACGTGGGCACTTAAGCTGCACTCCTGGATGACCAGTTATAATTTGACCTTTAAATCCAAAGCCAGCTCAGGTACAGTGTGTGGAATGCAGCTGTGTGCTGAGGAATCCAATCATTTTGGCCATGTTAACCATCACAATCAATTGCTGCCTGCGGACGTCTTCTGAAGTGATCAATACCAATTTTCCAGACAGCAAGAATGTCCCCATCAGCCACACGGCGCCAGTTCAGTGGGCATGTGTGGATCTAGGTTCCTGGTCAAGGTGTGATGAAACGAACAAGTGCTCGGCCCATCCTGGCCACAGACGCACGTCGTCGGGAATCTGGGTCAGGAGGATCTTGTTGCGGTTGCAGGTCTTCTGTCTGGACCGCTTCCATGGTTCGTCTCTTCACCTTTGTCAACACAGTGAAAGTGGGTCAGTTCTCAGCCCAGGGATGTGGACATGGAGTCTTACCATGTGTTCCAGACTCCTGCAGTGGGGTCAGCAGGAGCCATGCTGTGCACAGTAGGGCCGTGTGTGCAAGTGTGAGCGTGTGCTTCCGTGTGTATGCATGTATGTGTGTACATGAACGTGTGCGTGCGTGAAGGAATGTGAGTGAGAGAGGAACGTGGCCCGTGGCAGAGTCTATGGTGTGAGGGTGATTTCTTCGGCTGAAGTTAACCCTTAGTTGTCAGGATCTTGACTTCCCCAGTAGCAAGATGAACCAGGACCATTCTTCTTTTGCTCTGCCTTTCCTCAATTTTGCTTCTATTTGATATCTCCACAGGTAGGTCAGTGGTAGAGAAAAAGAAAGAAATGATTTCTTGAGTAAGATGGGAGGGGGTGGAAGCTGAAGCTTTGGGCTAAAATTAGGTGAGACGATAATCGTGGATCAGCATGAAAGTAAGGAGCTTAAGTGACTGGCGGCCGTGCTGGCCCAGCTCAGGGATCCCATCTTTCCTGTTTCTCTACCATGAATGTTTGTCAAATGTATTTTTTCTATATTTAAGCAATTATTACTTTCTCATAGCATAACAAACATTAATCCCAGGGCTCGTGGGAGATGAGAAGACTGTGATGGAATAGCACTTTGCAAAATAAGAACTCGGACCTATTGCACTGCAAAGCTAATCATCTATTTTCAAGAATGGAGACCATTCGATCACTGGCAGAGTAGCTCTGCGTCCGCCCTCCTTTATGTTATGGCACCAGAGGGAAGGCATTGCACCTCGTTCTCTCTGGAGTGCTTCCAAACTGCACGGTCATGCTCTGAGCACAGCCTCCTCCCCCTTTCATACAGTTAGGAATCTGGTAGACACAGTTCAAGGTATTAGAAAGTGGTAAGCCAGTGCAGTTCATCTCTTATCTCAAACAGCTCGCTGATCCTTAAGAATGAGATCAATCATAACCCAACAGAGCTACAGAAGCATGTCTCCTTTTCTTGTTTGCTTTCTGGGAGTACCTGCCAAGTTAGAAATCTACATAAATGAAATATAAATTACTAGTAACTTAAAGCACTAGACAAATCCTATAAGTTTTTATAATTACACAAGACAGAACTACAATGCAAGTGACAGAATAATAGCTATCTGTTGGGTTTTGTGTTATTTCTAAGATTCTTAATAAAGACATCTCTCTTAAAAAGAGTAAACTACTTTAAAAGAATGCCAAAAGAAAAGAGAGAGAGAGAGAGAAAGATAAGAGAGAGGCTGGAAAGGAAGGAGGGAGAGTGAAAGGGAGGCTCTCTTTGAGAATCTGAATTTATAAACTGGTGAGAATGAACTATTGCTACTGACGAAAGACACTTTGTTCATGAAAGAATTAACAGCAGGATTCCTTTCATTTTTACTTTTGTTTCATTTCAAAATTTGCTATGAGATTTCAGAGTTTTATTATAAAATATTACAGGCACACACAAAGATACAAAGAATTATGCAGTAACACTATTCCAGGACTTGGTTAAAAAAATCACCCCCTTCCCTCTCTCCTCAATCACAACCCCCCTCCCAACAAAGGTGACCATTCTAGTGAAATTAGTGTCACTACGTCTGTAGATTTCTTCACACCTTTACAACGTACGCATGGATCCTAAGCAACCGATCGTACTTTTGTGTATGTTAAACATCTGTAGGATTGATAGTATGCCCTGATTTCATCTTATCCACGGCATCATGTATTTTCTTGCAGGTTTCATCTGCCCTAAATGTGTTGCTGCTCTTCGCTCATTTCCTTTCGGGCAGATACACAGCTTATTTACCCTCCGCTCTCCGGACCAGGCTTCTCTCCGAACAGAGCATTTTAAATACTGTTTTACTGAAATCTCTGTTTTTAGTCCTGATTTTACTGGCAACTTCCCTACTCCTCAAAGGTACTTTTTCCAGTAACTTAGGCTTAAATATTCTAAATAAACTTAAAAACAAAACAAAAACTATTTTTGCGTGACTATAAAACTAATACGTGCCCATTTTAAATAAAAACACACAAAAATATAGTTCTCCCCTTTAACAATAACCACTGTGAACATTTTGGTGTATTTCTTTCCAGCAATTTTCATGTTTTGGTTTTGGTTTGCACAAACCTAATACTATCACAAGGGGCAATTTCCCTTGGCATTAAAAATCTATGAAAACAGGGGCGCCTGGGTGGCTCAGATGGTTAAGCGTCTGCCTTCGGCTTAGGTCATGATCCCAGGGTCCTGGGATCGAGCCCCGCATCAGGCTCCCTACTCTGCAGGAAGCCTGCTTCTCCCTCCTCCACTCCCCCTGCTTGTGTTCCCTCTCTAGCTGTGTGTCTCTGTCACATAAAAAAAAAAAAAAAAAAAAAAATCTATGAAAACAAAAATGTAAATGGCTGAAAAGACTTCCTGCCAGGCTCCAATTGTTGGGCATTTAGGTGGTTCTAAGATTTCACTTTATTTTCATTCAACCAATGTTCAGTGGGCACCTGCTACATGTTATGTGCTCATATTAGGTGTAGGAAGTGCAACAGTAAAAGAGACAGGACTGTATTCTTCCCAGAATATTAAATAAAAAGCACAACCTCCACAGATAATCTGATCACCATTGTGACATGCACTGGAGAGAATAAGCAGGGGATAAAACGCTGAGATCCCAGGGAGGCAGGAAACAGTTACGTGGGGTAGGGAAGACCTCCACCAGGAGGAGAGGTAAGTACTCAGGTTGGGTTCAAAGAGAAACAAAGATGGCTATTTGAAAGGAAGAGTGTGTGTGTGTGTGTGTGTGTGTGTGTGTTTGACCTGTGGGTGGACACATCTGCGGTGTTGGTGTTGACAGGAAGCACGAGACGGGAGGCCAGGAGCAATTACAGATCATCATCCCTTCATTAAAACCCAGGTGCCTAAATCTTTCCCACTTTTCTGGTTATGTTGTAAAGAGCAGCCTAATGTTGAATTACTGGACCGCAATGATTTGAAGGAATCATGTTTATAAGATTTTGATATATTAAAAATAAAATATTACTTGGGGCGCCTGGGTGGTTCAGTCATGAAGCATCTGCCCTCAGCTCAGGTCATGCAGGGTCCTGGGATCGAGCCATGTGTCGGGCTCCCTGCTCAACGGGGAGCCTGCTTCTCCCTCTGCCTGCTTGTGCCCACGCGCTCTCTCTCTCTTTCTCTCTGAAAAATAAATAAATAAAATCTTTAAAACAAAATAAAATAAAATATTACTTAACACTCTCTATTTTGGATGCCAACACCAATGCGTTATCTCATGGCAATTGGTGCCAATGACTCTGAGTAATGCTGCTGTGAAGGTGGTAGGCCTGAAAACATCAACCTCAGGGCTGTGCTATTATTACCTTTTACTCTGTATCAGGCAAGGTGAGTGGCTATGAAAAAATTGATTAGAAGAAACATTTATGATTATTTAAAACGCATGGAGAAAAACATATTATTAAAATAGCAAAGATATGTGGGTGGGTGTGTATCTTTGCAATCTGAATAACACACACACAACTCAGGGATACACTAAAGAATTATCAACGGGGACCTGGATGGGGTCAGGGAACTCCACACATTCACTGAACAAGAAAGATTTTAGTAAATGGGAAAACACTTCAGGAAAGAAAGGGTATTATAAAAAAATAATAATCATCTCAAAACTACTTTTTAAATTTAACATATTTCAATAAAATTTTTAAGTAATTTTTTTTGTTAAAATAATTCTAAAGTTTATTTGAAGAAATAATGATCAATAACGCCAAGAAAATTGGCAAGAAGAGAAAGCCACTAAAATAATTAGAAATATTTCTTCTTATGGATAAGGACAGGGTGGGAGAGGGGAGAAACAGAGGCTACTGTTTCTCACAGAAACCCCAAATCTTTATTTAACCTATGTCTGCACTACTGTGAGTAAAAATATAAAAAGATATACTAAGATCTAAAAAGAAGTCTGTGGTGGGCTGGACTGCGCAGGAATAGGTAGACCTATTACTGGGACAGAAGAGACAGCTTTGAGGTTTTTTTTTTTTTTTAAAGATTTTATTTATTTATTTGAGAGAGAGAGAATGAGAGACAGAGAGCATGAGAGGGAGGAGGGTCAGAGGGAGAAGCAGACTCCCCGCCGAGCAGGGAGCCCGATGCGGGGCTCGATCCCGAGACTCCAGGATCATGACCTGAGCCGAAGGCAGTCGCTTAACCAACTGAGCCACCCAGGCGCCCAGCTTTGAGTTTTTATAAGAAAACTTTTAAAATAACATTTTAAATCAGTGGCACAAGAAATACTGTGCAATTAAAGTAAAATAAATTTGCAGTACTACTTCACAAAACAAATTTAAGAGTAATCAGAGATAAACTTGAAAAGAAGCAATGAAAAGCAAATGACAATGCATAAGACAAGGAAATAAGTATTTAGATAAATAGTATCTATGGTTGCTGTTAACGGTAAAACTAAAATATATGTGTAAAAAGTAAAGATATTTGACTCCTAAAATTTTTAAACTTCAATATGCCTGAAAAATACATATAAGTGTAAATGTCAAATAGGATAACTATGTACCAAAATTATATCAATGTTAATATCAAATTTTAAGGATTCCTTACAAATTAAGAATGATAAACATCCCAATCACAAAAAAAAAAAAAAAATCAGGCAAATAACATAACAAACACATAGAAGAAGGGGAAAAAAGTCAATATATATCTAAGCAATTTTGAATTCTCTGACCAAGGAAATGCGTATTAAGGTAATGATGAGACTCTGGTAGCAATGAGGGAGCGCGCACAGGGCAGAGCTTGGTCTCCAATGCCAGTCTCTAGTGAGAACAACCAGGGCTCCTTGACAACACAACACATTTAAGTGAAAACAAACCAAACAAATCTCGGTGGTCTCACATAAGAAGGAAAAAAAAAAAAGGGTGTGTCATATGTTTAAAAATAACACCCAGCAGAATCCACAACCAAAGGTAACATGGAACATTTATCTGTATTGCTGAAGTTAAAAGTCAGGTCAAAAAAAATCACACCAAAATAATATAACACTGTTGCAACAACAGACTAAGACTTGGGCCGCATTTTAAAGCAGTCAGTGTCTATTCTACTCTGGAGGACCGACTCCAGCAGCCTCACCTGGAACGCAGGGGCCCTGTGAGCAACAGCTAGGTGCAGAGGTGAGAGTCCCCTGCAGGAAGGGCCACTGTGTCCACCACATCCCTGGCACAGCTGACTTTTTCAACTAGCAAAGTAAAAAGTTCCATTTCCTTATAAGTGGAACTCATAAAAGAGGCCTGGCTTAAAGGGCCAACTTTGGATAAATTTGTCTCTTATTCCAAAGTCTATAAATATTTGCAACTTTAAAAGGGGGGGAACTAAAGGTTATCCATCCCTCCTTCAAAGGAAAAGAGTGAAGTCTGCTTTTATTATAATGAGACTCTACAGTCAACACATACAGGCCAATATACCCTGAACTTCTTTTTAAGGTCAAGACTATACCCACTTAGCTTGTGATTTGAGCCAAAGAGTAGCAGAGGAAGCATTTATTCAGTGCTAATATTATGTGTGGCACACCAGGGCAAGTGTTTACACATGGATTATCTCAAGTAATACATGCAATCCCAAAACAGAATTCTGCGGGGAAACAGGCTTGGGAAGCTAAGGCTCTCAGGCGAGACCCTGGCTAAAAGTAAAGGATGACATGCTAATTCCAATTATAGTCCCTCCCCAGGCCCATCCTCACTCCCTGTAGTCTTTCTGACCCACTCTTCATGTCCGTGAAATAAAGTTTTACACATTCTCTAAGTGTCTTTCCAGCTCTAATATTCTGGAGCTCTCTGATTCAAGATTTGCACTCATCAGAAGCTCCAAAACTCCCATGAGTGGGACAGTCGTATTTCCAAACTTAAGAGTCAGGATGTTCAGTCTGTTAGAGGACCTCTGTGCTACTTCCAGAAACATAACATCCATCTAGAAGGTGGAGCCCGAGTATTAACATTTCCAGTGTATTTAATCTGTTTATGTAGATAGCTGAAATAGAATATTACATAACGGGAAGCCTCAGATGCTCTAAGGTGCAGGGTGGATGGGTGAGTACAGCGTGAACAATAAGGAAAGCTGAGAGGAGACTTGGTCTTTAGAGTTCTTGCTCCCATCTTCTCTCTTTCTTCAATTCTCTCCTCCTTTGGTGGCACGCACACCTCCTTTTCCAGCCAGTTCCTGCAGTATGATGTCCTATGAAACCTGCACTTTCAGATCAAATCCCCATCATCCAAAATCAATGATTCTGTTTCCTTTTCTTTCATTCTTCCCATCTTTCATTTCCAATGGGGCCTGACTGCTGGTAGACAAGGAAGTGACTGGAATAATTCATACGAAGGTGTGAATGGGCCATTGCTGACTCAGCTTGTGATCCCTTTCCCAGGCAACTTTGCATTCTAAAAGAGTGGCTGGTGTATCCAAATAGAATCTAAAGTTCAGAGTTAAGGCATTATATTATTTAGGCAAGTCTATGGACAAGTCAGAAAGCGTATTTTTCTACCCCTTTCTTCTGCATGGAGATGGTATTGTTAATAGGATACTTTAAAGTTATGATTTCTAAATTTCTGATGGTGCACCTCTATCAGATAAAAAAATGGGCACCTATCCAAATAATTTATTGAATTCACATATATCTGTCCAATTACTGCACTGATGTGCTTTGTTTACTACAAACGTACACACTTTAAAGGGTGCAATAAAAATAAATAATATTTATACACTATTTTATCTTAACTTAAAAAATATATATTTTTGCCCTCAATCCAACTTGTGTTTTGAGTGCAAGTAGTAAGAACGAATATACTTCTCACATGTAAATTACAGACATATACCAAATGCTGAAAGAAGACAGCCAGTGAGTACCTCCTACCACCACACTTCACTGTGGGCACTCAGGTCACATTTCAGGTTTTCTGTGCCTGTCAGATGGTGCACATAGGGAAGGAGGGGAGGGAAGATGAGTGGGGGAACAGTCTGGTCCGTACAGTGTTAATAAAGTCTGATTTTCTTCTTTGATTAAAAGAGAGCAATAAAAGAGTTGTAATGGTCTCTTCCTGTCCCCCGGTTAATTATCATGGGGGTGTACTCACTACTCTGTATGCCTCATTTAAAACAAGAGCAGGCTCAGATCCAAGTTTTGTGGAACTTGGGACTGTTACAACTTCTGAGAAGAGAAAACTCTGGATGAAAGAGAGCACACACAAAAAATCTTACTTTTGCAACTTTCACAAACTCTGTGAATCTAGGAACACATGACTGGGCCGTCCCAGGGCAATGAAAGGGGACCTTCGGGGGCACCCAGCACCTCCATCCAGCAAGAAGACGGGAGGTGGGCCTTCCGCCGGCTTGAGGAGCGTGCTCCTGAAAACGAGGAAGCTTGGGAAAGAGGGCTTCTTTGCAAAAGGTTGCTTAGGGGACTGGAATTTAAATTCCCTTCCCTGCTTGAGTCCTCCTAATGGGGCTTCGCTCTTAGCAAATCCTGCCTTCTGTGCTGAACTGTTTAAAGCACAATCCCCGCAGCTTGTACACTCGGAGGTCTGGCGCGGCTAAGGACCTGAGCTCAAGCGTCCAGATGACAGCTCAGCCCTTCGCGCTCTCTGCCTTCTTTTCACTCCCTCCCTGAACTCCGAGCCGTGGTCTCAGAATAACAGAGCTCGAGGCTCGAAGAGCAGGATGTGTAGCTTTTTGGTAAAGCCCGTCCTGGACTTACTAAATAAGTCACACTGTCAGCTCCGGCCCATTAAGGGGCCCACTCTCCCTGTCCCCGTGGGCAAGAAATTTGAGCTGAAGCCGGTCCTGCAGAAACCCCAGCCACTCTCCCTTTTAGGGCATTGTTCTCAGTGGGCGATGGCGAAGGACGATCCGAGAGGGCCGCGGCTAACACACCGATGGCCCCGGGACACCGACGTGCAGGAGGCGGGAGGGGGATGTACCGGAAGCAGGGGCCGGCAAGGGTCGCCGTGGGCGCGGAAATGCGGTGGGAAGTGGAAGCGCACGCGTCTTCCGTTTCCCGCAACCCACCCGCGCATCACTCTGTCCTTACCGCGTCTCCGACGTTACTTCCACGTCTCTCTGCTGCACCGATACGCTCCTCGGCTCGCCCGAACCGGTCTGCCCGGACCCCACTCGGGGCTGCCCGGGAGAAACAGCGGGAAAAGCCTTCGAAGCCAAGACGAACGCACGTCCAGCGCCGCTGAAGGCGGGCGACGCAGACGCCACTCTTGCCCGTCACGCTCGGGCGGCCGCGGGACTGGCGGGCCGCGTCACGTGGCTGGGCGGGCCGCGTCACGTGGCTGGGCGGGCCGCGTCACGTGGCTGGGCGGGCCGCGTCACGTGACCGCGCCCGCTCCCGTCTGCCGCTGCGCAGGGAGGGCCCAGAGGCGGGAAGGTCGGGCCGCGGGTGGCTGGGCTGCCGCTGCCGAGGCCGGGAAGGGGCTCAGCGGCTGCGGGGCTTGGGAGCGATTGCGCGCCCAGGCCCGGCGTCCTCCGCTGTGCAGCCGGGCGGAGAAGGCCTGCGCCTCGCAGCCTGACAGGTAGGGGCGGCGTCGGGGCGCGGGCAGCCGGTTGTTCATCTGCCTCGGCTCGCCGCGCGGCCGGACGCGCTGCAGGTGCTCCCGGCGCCCAGTGAACCGGAGGGCGCCCCAGGGGTCGTGCGAGGATCTGTGTGTGCAGGAGCCCGGCGAAAGCGCCCAGCGGCAGCCGTTCGTCCCGATGAGCTACGGTCGCACCTGCGCTCGCAAGCGGGCTCTGAAGAAGGCGGCGGCCGAGCTCGGTGGGCCGAGGGCCGGGCCGCCAGCAGAGGCGGCGCGGAGGGAGGCGGTGGGTCGCGGGGCGTCCCAGCAGCATCGGGCCGGGTCCTCCGCGCAGGGGCAGGGGCGCGTCAGCGGCTTCGCGGGTGGACTGCACGCCGAACCCGAGCCCGCCGTGGGGCAGGCGTCCTGCGGGGAGGGGACGGGTGGACCAGAGCTGCCCTGCCCCCCCGGGCGCCTGACGACGAAGAAGCGGCTTGCAGCCCCGGAGTCCCAGCTTGCTCATCGGTGTGTTGGAAGTCCGTACCTACAGGACAAACCCCCGGCCCCTGCGCCCCACACAGGCCCACGGTAGGACTCGGCCAAGAGCCCCGGAGCCTGTGGTTTAGACACTCCTGCCACCTGGTGGCCGCACACCCAGATCAGAACTCGGGGGTTTATTTTTATGGTTCTGTTTTTCCAAAGGAAAAATCTCAAAGTTGAGGGTGTGAGCCTTCGGTTATGAAGCATTAAAACACACACATGACAGGGGAAAGGAAGTCGCGAGGGTCAGGTCAGGTTGGGGAAGTTGGATTATTTCTAGGGCTTCCTGATTCTGGGCCTAATAAGACTGCAGCCACTTAAAATGTTTTGCGTTCCCGCAATATCAAATGCACCCAGAATGAAAAGAACAACATACGCCAAAGACAAGATATCAGTTACTTGATTTATCTGTCATTTGGGATTGTCTCTTTTTCTCTTCTTTCGGATGTCAAGTTGTTTTCTTTGAGCCGGTTTCTTATGTCTGAACTGAAACGCAGATGACCCTGACCTGATTCTGCACTTCTACCCTTGAACTCTGGCCTTTCCCCTGGACGAGTCTGGAGGGAGCCTAACTCTGAGCAAAAAGAACCCAGCAAAGAATATAATATTTCCTCTCACCCCAGAAAGCAACAGTCCTCCAAGCCAGTGTCTTCTGTGCTTCCAAAGATCAGGTTATACAATGATTAATGAAACTGAATAGTTAATGATGTCCCTAAACAAATGTCTTTTTGCTCTTTAGGGCCTTACACTCCCTGTTACTTCAGATGTCTTGAGGCCTTTGGTCTTACCTCGGCTAAGCCAGTTTAGATGAAGAGAGAGCAAAGGGAGACACAGGGAACTGTTGTAGGCTTGGCTCAACACTCTACAATCGTCAAAATTTGCTTTGTTAAATGCTGTGGAGTGAAAAACCAAGACGGAGAGAATTTATGTGTGGCCCAGGTTAGAAAGTAAGTACCTGGCAAGGACAAAATGTGACCCTGGATCTCCCTGAATGCAAAGAACAGAGTCTGACCGAGAGTATCCGCGGCCGGTTGAAACTTGGGGCTGCTTTCAGGACACCTGGCTTCTTCCCTGCAACCCTGCTCCTCCTCATGCAGTTTCATGATGAACTTCTCATGAAACTGGAATATTCTGTTTCATCTCAGGAACTAACAGTGAGGAAGGTTTACAGACAGGATTGCATTAAATTCATCTTGTCCTTTTCTCCCCCGTATTCTGCATGAATAAGCTCAGTGCAGAAGGAGGAATGCTAAGCAGGCAGCAGGATTTAAGGATTTTCAGCCTGTGGATTCAGGAAGCAAAAGTCTTAATTTTTAGAGCTGCTCTGTCAGGCACTTTACAGCTTCCTTTTCTAACTACTAAGCACCATAAATCTCCAGACTGCCGGTCTCTAAACTCACTTGTAAATGGTCCTATATGCCAGCAGCAACTGGCCACCAAAACAAAGCCAGGGAATGAGTGACCCATGAATAAGGCTCACGTGTGGTCCTCAGCTGTTCAGGTCCACTGTCCGTCCAGACACAGGAAGGGCCCTGGGCACTCGAGGCAGATGGCCGTGCTTTCTGGCAATGGAGACTGGCAGAAAGGGAGGCCCAATGGGACAGTACTGCTGTAGGCCTGCCCTTGTCTGGATGCTTCCACAGTGCAGGGAGCCTTGACAAAGGGTCGTCTGAGGGTGGCTATCTGAGGTTGGAGTCTCTGGGCAGCAGCTTCGAGGGGAAGTGAAGATTGGCTGTGTGCTGGGCCCTTGCTCACTGATGGTGATTTAACAATGTGAAGAAATGGCCTTTCTGAGTCTGGCTCTGTTGGCTCTGGGAATGTGCAAGATCCACTGTCTTTATTTATTTATTTATTTTTTAAGATTTTATTTATTTATTTGACAGAGACACAGCAAGAGAAGGAACACAAACAAAGGGAGTGGGATAGACAGGCTTCCCACTGAGCAGGGAGCCCGATGCGGGGCTCGATCCCAGGACCCTGGGACCATGACCTGAGTCGAAGGCAGACGCTTAACGGCTGAGTCACCCAGGCGCCCCAAGATCCACTCTCTTAGGACAGACTGCAGACTTGTCTAGGGTTCCTACTGGATGGGGACAAGATATTTGGAGGAGAACCTCAAAAGAAAAGGTCTTATTTTATAGGGCAGGGCCTGCAGATTTTTTTTCTGAAAAGGACCAGGTAATAAATACTTTTAATTTGCTTACAGCGTATTTCAACTACTTAGCTCCTCCATGGCACAGAAGCTGCCACACACTGTGCCTGAATGAGTGAGCCTCACTGCCTTTCAGTAAAACTTTATTTACAAAAAGAGATGGTAGGCAGAATTTGGCCCTCAGACCTACTTTGCTGACCCCTGGGATAGGAGGAGCAGAGATGTCCATAAGACCCAAAACCTAGGGGCTCCCAGGTGGCTCAGTCAGTTAGGCATCTGCCTTTGGCTCAGGTCATGATCCCAGGGCCCTGGGATCGAGCCTCCCAGCATCGGGCTCCCTGCTCGGTGGGGAGTCTGCTTCTTCCTCTGCCTGTAGCTCACCCTGCTTGTGCTCAGTTTCTCTCTCTCTGACAAATGAATCAATAAAATCTTAAAAGAAGAAGACCGAAAACCTAATCCCTGTTTTGCTATGCACCAGATCTATGACCTCAAATAAGTTATTTATCTCTGAGCCTGTTTCCTCATTAGTAAAAAGGATTCCACAATATCTACCTTTTAGGCTTCTGGTAATGTATGCAGAGCTCTCAGCATACCACATGGCAGAGAGTGGGCACACAGTAAACATCGGGCTTTCCATAGAAATACCTATAGTTTTTGGGGTAGATTGGATGTATGGGAGCCTTAATGCTCTGTTGCCTTCATAGGCGTCTTTTGCCTCATTTGTTGGACCTGACTCGGAGTAAATGAAGTCCCTTTAACCCATTTGCATTCTAGAAGTAGGTTTTTCCAAACTCACTGACATATTATTTCAAACTCTCTGGCAGCATTCAGGGCTTTGTGGAGTCCCTTGGCAATTTTACTGCACCAGAACATTGCCTACCCTGAAATTTTTAAATTATGATGGAATGCAAAACAGATGTACCAAATCTAGGGAGGACTAGAGCAACATTAATTTGTTCCTTGGGAATGCCCTTCATAAGCACGTTTTGGGGCAGACATTTGTGATAAGAGCCAGGCAATAAAAGATCCCAGCATGTTCTAAACACTGCAATTTTGGCAATTTGTGTCAAAGAAAATTTGGAAGGCATCGATAACTGAAACAGAACTGACTGAATTTATGGCTTAACCTTTCACTAAAATATCTGTGTTTGGAAGATGTCATTGATCAAAGAAATGAGAATTTGGATGGAAAAAAAATAGATAGGATTCAGACGGGTGGAACTCTGAACTCTGACACTGGTCAATACTTAATTATTTAGAATATGAACTGGGGCCAAGTTGCTGCTTGGGTCTCTTCAAGGTGGCTGACTTCATGGTGCATTACCAATACCAACTTGAAAATAAAGCGCTGGGCGCCTAGATGGCTCAGTTAGTTGATTAAGCATCTGCCTTCAGCTCAGGTCCTGATCCTGGGATCTAGTCCCACATCGGGCTCCCTGCTCAGCAGGGAATCTGCTTGTCCCTCTACACCTCCCCCTCTGCTTATGTGCTCACATGTGTTCTCTCTCTCAAATAAATAAAATCTTTTTAAAAAGAAAGAAAATAAAATGCTAAACTTAAAGGTAGTATTTTCAGGAAAGCTGACTTTGATATACAGGGTTATGATTTTAAGTACATTGAGCTTCAAATAAGAAAAAAAAAACACAATATGGAAAAACAAATAGTGCATTAGAGTAATACTTAGTGTGAATGCCATTAGGATCCTGGCCAGAGAATTAGGCTGAAACTACGCTGTCAGCTATATTACGTTACATTGTTATTAATCATGGGATCCAGAAAAAAACTGCTTGTGACACAAGGAAAAAAAATCACTTCTTTTGGCAAATCTGAAATTTCATATCCCCCAAGATGTACTTGTTATACTTTCCCCTGTAAGAAACAAACCCGATAGAAATCTTTCTTGGCCCTACAGAATTATAAACTTCTGGGTAAAACTGACCTACTTTTAATCTGATTCTACACTACCACTTCTATAGAAAATGAACTGTACCAGACGAGAAATGCATTTCCGTGTTAGTCCAACTGGGCATCAAGACATGCTTT